ACAAGAAGACTAGTAGGTCAAATACCTAAATGAAAAAATTATTACAAATTCTTCGAGATTATCTTCACTTCTTGCCTTCTTCACCTTGCAGCTATTCTAATATCCTATTTTCTACTTTTATATTTATTTGAATAAGAAATGTTGAATTACATTTGAGAAGAGTAAGATGAGAAGAGAAATACAATAGCATGATAGAGAAGGTAGGACTTGCGAGTCCTATTTATCCAAAAAATTACAAACATTCATTCTCATAAATTAGGTCGACTCATCCGGACCATTCAATCATACTTCAATCACATTGATAGATGACATACTAATGAAAAATAGTTCATTTTAATCATAATTATAAATTTATGTTTTGGTCATTTTATAAAATTATCAAAAAAATTTTAATTTTAAATTTTAAGTTTTTTTAGGCCTCGAAGGCCCACGATTGCGAGGCTCTAGTTAATGGCCCGGCAAACTCTCGCACGTCCGGCCTACTATCGGCCAATGGCCCGGCGTGCTCACGTGCACTTGGCCCGTTGCTTAGTGCATCTACGTGCCTAGCTTGATGGGCGTGTTCACCTAGCTCGCTGTAGGCCTCGCCCATATATGCACGCAACATTTGCTTCTCGTCTTAGCCTAGCCTTTGGCACGGCGCGTGCCTATCACACGCCTTCCATGTTGCGTGTCTAGTGCACGACTATCCCGCCAAGTTGGTTTGGCTTGCGCAAGGCAAACTCGGCATGTCGTAAACCTAGAGCGCAATTGGCACCGCCAATGCATGGCCTATCACACGCCTAGCTTACACCTAGCCTATCGCGTATCCAACACTTGACTAGCCGACCTCCTCGCTGGGCATGCGATCACCAACGTCAAATGTTGGCCTTGCGTGTCCCACTCTTTTGAAGCTCAAAAATCAGTTAAAAAAATACCAAAACTTTGAATTTACTATCAAGAATAGATAATTCATGCAATTAATCACATACAATTAAAGATTCAACAGAGGCTCTAATACCAATTGAAGGATCATGTATCCTATGGAAGAGTGGAATAAAATTTTTTTTTCCTCCATCTAAGGCTTCCAATATCAAGCGAGTTGAATCAACTAATCATACATATATGAATTAAAGCATAAGTAAAGGATTACTTTTTAGAGCGCAGATTTAACCTCAACGAAAAAGGAGCCGTCCAAGTGTCCGGCCTTTATCGATAATTCACACGAGTCCAAGCACCCATACAAGAAACGCTCGAAGTAGTAGAGTGCTAGCTCCACCTTTTCTGACTTTTTTAGTGTTTTCTCTTTAAAAAATTATTTAGAGATATTTTACGACAAACTTAAGCAAGAGGGATAGAGGTGGTGTGTGTAAGGGAAGAGAAAACTATTTTTCTCCTTAATTTTACTCTAGTCGTGCATGCCCTAGCAATTTTTTTTTCTCTTTGCCACACCTCCCCTTGTATTTATAGGAGAAGTGGTAGCATTAAGTCCTAAAAAGACTCTTGGTTATTTTTTTCTAATCCTCCAAAGATTAAGAGTTATTATGCATATGGGTCTTTTTGATCTTATCCTTTTAGAACTTGATCCTTATCCAATAAGGTTCATATTTATCCTCCCATCAAAATATCTTGTAAGCTTTTTAATTAAACTTATTAGCTCAAACTCTTTTGGCCTAATTAATTATTAATTAATTTAGACTATCCAAATAAATTAGGTTAGATATTTTTAGGAGGCCTACATTAGAAAATAATTTTTTAAATTACCTTTAAACTTAAATTAAGAAACTAATTTTCCTTTTTGATAACTTACTTTTAAATTTATAACTAACTTTCAAATTAGGAAATTGATTTTTAAATTGGAAACCTTTCATTTTTTAAAATCTTTTTCAAAATAGAAAACTTTTAAAATTGAAAACTTTTTCTAAAATCTTTGCTTTTCTTTTATTATGTGAATGTTTAAACTTATGCGTGTGACTCAATAGGCTCCTAGATATGTTGACAATATATCAAAAATAAAAAAAACATATTTTTTATCTCTTTATACATAAATTAAGATTGGTTTCTACCAAGGCGTCATGATTATCCAATTCTCTGAAGGATTAATTAATCCGTAATTACTTTTCACGAGCATGGTTACTCGTACAATTCGATCCTCATGTCAATTTATCATAGTGTGATCTCGAACTTAGTTATTAGTCTATTCGATTATGATCACATAATTTTTCTTTAATTCCTAAATATCTTAGCTATTGGAGTAAACCAACTATGCTTTATTGGTATACTCCTACTATGGTCATAGATTTCTTGAGCAGATATTTATCGAAGTGCAATGTGATAACTCTTTTCGTATATAAGGAATGACATGTCTTATATTATTCATTCACCTATCTCTATTAGATTCCTAATACACTCAATGAATCATCCATGTGCAACCCTTTACCGGGTTCATCAAAATGAGTGTCAAAGTATATAAATCCTCTAATGAGATAACCATGATGACTTCAAGTCAAAAGACCAACTGTACCCATCTCGTACGAGATTCTCATATACTAAACCAAATGAGTTTTCATAACGAGTTAAATCCGATGATATGTTCTCTAACATTAATCACATAATTGTTTGCTTTGGTATCACTATGCCAATAAGTATGAGATTCCTTATTGCTATCTTATAGTATGAGTATAGTACTCACAAGTCTAATCGTATATAGTCAATATCCATTTTTAACAATGCTACGACTTGAGACATTTAATTACAACTTGGGACATTTAATGATATCATTTAAGTGCATTAATGTTTGTCTCACATTTTTCGATCAATCATTAATGCAATGCATATCATATGGACTTCTATCTAATTATAATAAATAAACATAAATAATAAGAATTAATAAAAAGACTTCTTTTATTGATAAAATAAATAATATAATATTACAAGAAGTCAAACCTATCCAAACATGGTTGGATCTTGGGTACCTATATTAACACTTATGTCCTAAACTACTTCAAAAATATATATATATATATATATAATTGGAATTAATGACAAGATCACATAATTGGTTAGATGGATGATGGACAAGGTTAATTGAGAAATTAGAAGTCAAGGAAATAATCAATTAAATGGAAGGAATTTAGATTAAATGAGATATGGGAAAATATTAAATGGACATGTTAAGTTGGAACCAATGTTCCTAAATTTATTTGGAACCAATGTTCCATAACCCAAAAATGATTTTATCCCTTAAATAAATAGTTTGAATAGATCAATTGAATTAATTGGAGGATAAATTTTATTGGTTTAATTAAATTCTCAAACCATATGATTTTATCCAAAATAATGATTTCTACTTAAAATTTATTATTTTCAAAATTGATTATTGGTCCTAGTTACCCGAACATTTTTTAAGAAAATGATGGAGATTCATAATTTCAAATTAATTAGATTATTTTCCTAATATTTTGGGTTTTATGGAAAATCTAAGGATTTATGTTTTAAAATAATTTCCAAATTAAGGACTTTTATTGAAGAAAAGGACAAATTTTTAATGATTTATTATATTAAGAATATTTTCTAATTATATGACATTTTATCAAATGGTTTTGAATTTATTTCCAATAATTAATTTAACTAGTTTTATGTTACATGGAATTGTTTTAAATAAAATCCAAATTTTTATAAGGAATTTGAGAAAAAAAAACATGATTCAAATTAGTTTTATATAATGTATTTTATTAAATTAATTAAATTGGCTTTTAAAAATATGAGTTTCTAACTCAAAATCAATGTTTAATATTTCCACACATATAGTGAGATTATTAATTGATATTGGAGGAATTTATGAAAATTTTTATACCTAAATTCTATTTTAAGAGGACCTGTTAAATTTTTAATTATTAGGGACCACACGAAAAATTAATAGTGAAATTTTAGAGGATGAGAAGTGAAGGCTTATTATCTTGCATTCATTGCACTTGAAATATAAGGCAACGCAATGCAAGACAATGTCGGTAACATTTTCTATCTATTTAATCCTCAGTCGGGGGTGTTACATAAAGGTCGTGTCAATAGCAATTTTCGTAATTAAAATATATTTAGATTACAAAATAATAGAATCACGAAAAAACATTGTTATTTTCATAATTAAAATATATTTGGATTACAAAATGATAGAAAAATAATGAATTAAAAAGTAAAATACTAGTGACTCAGTAAAGTATGCATATGGAGTCCTTTCTGAAAGAAAAAAATGAGTATTAGAGAATTTACAACTTTAACTCTTGATGGATTCTCTGAATTGAAGGATTAGTTAATTACATCGTCCTGGAGTCATTGTTTGTTCCGAAATTTGTGAAAGACCCAATTTAATGGTTCACAAAAGCCAAACCGGCTTTGTGGTTCTCTTGTTTTTTGGTAGATGGTGCATCCATCGCTATTCTGCAGGACAACTAACACTGTTAACTCTAACCTGTATTAATAGAATCCAGTTGTACCAAATTATCCACATATTTGTTTGCCAATTAATAACCTTGAACATGCATGGTAGAGCTCCACAACATGGAAATATAATTATGCCAGATCCCCTTATGACCTTGAGTAAGAAGATAATATCGAATATTTAGTGCAAGAAGCAACGCAAACATTGGAGGTGACTTTGGGAAAACTATGCGCAATACAAGATCAATTTCTGCACTAAATTGTTCCATCTGCAATACTGATTTATTTCTGACTTAATTGTGAGCATGTGCTGCTTTATATAACAATGAACAAAGAGAGAGAGCACAAAATTGACAATTGAGACTTTCAATTCCATGAAATTGCAACTTGCATTGCCGAAAAGAATTATTTTTACACTCCCCGCCAAACAAAAAAAAAAAGAAAAGGGAAAAAGAAAAGGAAGGTCTAAGAATTTCAAATGATCATAAATAAACCACTTTTTTTTTTTTTAACCTTCTTTATACCCCCATTGAGCCATTGAGACTATGCTTACCTTATCATGATCAAGAGGATAATCAAAACAGCTAGGATGATGAAGTTGATGAATTTGATGTACGGTTGCGACAGAACTGGAAGCTATTCTCATCCATTTTCTCTACCACAAAATGAGCAAGCATGTCATTAGACTCCACCAAGTTCTCTCTGCATAAGAACTCATCACCATAAATTCTCTCCACATTTCTGTAGTAATCATGCACAAATATGTGAGTCTTAGCATTGCTAGCCTTCTTGCTCCTAGCTAGTACCCCAGCTGTGAAGATTGGCGTCATCCTCCCTGGCCCTTCTGGTCCATCGCCTCTAGGCCCATCAACCAATATCACATCCCAATCAACCTCATAAACATGATTAGGCAAGTCATTAATCCCAAGCTTACACTCTGAGAAGAGTAAATTCTGCACTGGCCTGCATTCATTTTTTATTTGTTCCTTGGTGGAAGCTATGAGTTCTCTCATTTCTTTCATCTTGGTTGTGTATTGAACATCAAAGACATCAATTTCAGGATGTAACTCTTCATAATAAGCTGCGTAGTAGCGATTTTCTTCGATGAAAACCGTGCGGCCATTGTGGTTCAGAGCTTTCCAGAGAAGGGTCTCGTGCGTTAGACCAAAGACAAGAAAGTTACAAGGAGATGAGCACTTTCTAAGTACATCAGAGATCGGTTTGATTTCGGCATGGGACATGTGGAAACTGTCATTGGATCTCGAGGCATAGTGGAGGAGAGTATTGATGACTGTTGTTGGCAATGCTGCATTAATATTGCCATAGGTGGAGCTAGAAGCAGATCCAGTGGCCACAGTGGTGGTGGTGGTTTTGATAGGTAAGGTCTCTCTTGTGTAGATTAGTGTAAGAAGGAAAGCAATAGTGAAGAATGATACAAAGGCAAGGAGCCATAACCGATTGGAGCCTCCTTGTTTTTGGATGTAAGGATGAAGAAGAATCAACTTCGTGTTGTTATTGTTATTGTTCTTCATCTTTTTGGGGTGAGAGATAAGAGAAAATTTTGATAAGGGTGAGATCCCTCTTATTGTGCTGTGGTGATCAAGATTTTAAGCCTTGATGGGAATGAGAAAAGAGGGAATGATTTAAAGATGGAGTTAGCTAGCTAAAGGCAGCAAATCAATGTTTGAAGCAATAGGGGAGCTCAGCCAAATATGAACATGACATATTAGTCACATTTCAAATGAACCTAATGCTATTCTAGAAACCTAATTGCCCCATAAAGAATTTGCTCTATTTTTTAATTATTATTATTAGTTGGGCAGTTTAGTTTAATTTCCATGCAACTGTGATTGGTCAAATGACTTTTATTTATCTATCTACTTTATGGTTATGGAAAGGATAAGTGAAATCTATCAAAAACAATAGGAGCAAAATAGAAAGTGGTTGGAATGGAGCTGGTTGTAGCTGGTATATTTCTAGCGACACCATAACTAATTACAAGTCAGAAGTCGCTTTTCCTTGTTCATTTTAGTTTTAGTTCTCAAGTAACCTCTTATTAAATAAAATATATCATGTCATTTCTTAAAAAATTAGTTACCTTCTGAGAGAGACCAGTTACCTGCAAATGATTCGAATTCAAAATCAATCATCAGATTATGCCACACCCAAATGGATTATTACTTACAAAAAGTACTGCAATTATTGAAGACTTTCTCTGGTTCTGTTGAATAGTTCAAGTCTGTACATATATAAATGGGAGATCATTGCAGGAATAGAAAATTTTGTTGAAGGGACATGGGTATCTAACTAGACTAGGTAAATGATAAAAGATTCGTGGAGTGTAAGATTTGATGGATTGAAAAAAGTTCATGGGAGATACTGCGACAGGAATACAGAGCAGATTCTGAAGTAGCCACGCTGTTAGTCTGATTTTGTCCGATCTTCAAAATATTGTACCTCGAAAGTTCAAAACCTTTGACATTAGACATCCTACTCCCACCCACCGAAGTTATTCTTAGTTTATTGCAGACACCATGTGATTATCTCAAATATATTCGTTCTCTTTCTCAAAAAAAAAAAAAAAGTTTCCCCTTGATTTTTGGTAAGAGGCTAAACAACTACTTAACCAAAAGATTCTGTTATTTGGCGCTTCGAACATTTGAAATTTTTCTCCATTAGACAATCGAATGTTTTTTTTTTTTTTAAATTCATGAGAAGGTTTGTATTCATTATAAATAATTAAATAAATTTAAATCGTTAAATCCAAATTTATTTTACTAAATAAAGCTATTAAATACATAATCGTTAGATTATATTTATTTGTATTACTCGGTTGATTTATAATTCATGGATTATTAAAAGAATAAGATGTATCAAGAACTTATGTCTTATTGATGATAATACAAATATTGATCATAATACAAATAGTCTCTGAACAAATTATTCAATACAAACACTCTTACAAAGAAATTAAAAGTAAAAATTATTCCTTATGTTAATGGCCTTCTCCCATCCAATACTATTAGTCAATACACAAATACGAATGTCAATTTGTCTTGCCCTGCCCTATCTTGTTCCTCGATTATCGTGAGATTCTTCACGTTGATTAGAGAACGAAACGAGACGGGACGCCTCATATTTATTTTGAACGGAGATGAGATGAGAATAGTATTTGTGTGCCTTGTCTCATTTATCTCATTTTATTCCTAAAACTATGATTATACCCTATATAAAATATATGACTATTGACTCTTAGAGTTTATTTTTTATATGAATTATTATTTTTTTAACCATAGTTTGAAATTTAATGATAGAATAAGACAAGATAAAACGAAAAAAATAAAATAAATGAGACACTAATGCTCCGTAAGGATCTCTATCTCCGTTTAGAACGAAAATGATATGATAAATTTTATCCTATACTAAGCACAGGACAAGAATTAAACAAAATTTTCAAGAGAGTGGCGAGATGGGGGTGGGGATGGCCCTATTGCCATTCCTAAGCGCAAGTAGTCCCTGAACATGCTAAAGCGTAAATAGTTTTTGAACAAGGTATTCCCCGCAAATTGGATCCTTTTATTAAGTGGACTAGAGTGTCACATGCTTGGCACATGATTTTACTTAATTTAAATTGCATGTAAACTTAACTCCATTTAACAGAAGGACTCAATTTTATCTTTAATTTTGTTTAAAGACTATTTCCTGAATAACTTGTTCAAATATTGCTTGCAACAAGAAACCTTGATATATTGAGAAATTATAAATTAGTCCCTCTCGTTTTGAAAAACTAATTAATTAATCTCTCTATCTTTAAAAACTTATTATGTAGTCTTTTTAACTAATGTTGACCATGATTAATTTAATATTTTTTTTATTATATAAAACGTCTTCTTTTATAATCAATTTTTTTCTTCATATTTTACTTATTTTTTATTTCTTTTTTATTCCTTAAAAAATAAAATAAAATAAACAATAGCAAAAAGATTAAATAATTAATTTTTGAAACCAGATGAACTAATTAATTTATTTCTCAAAACAAAAGGGACTAATTTGTAATTTACTCTGTTAAATTTTACCCTTGATGAAATTTCAAGTTTTAGAGACTGTCCATGTTGAGCATTCTTGATCTTTTTTTTTTTTTCACTTTTTGGTAAAATTATTTCCAACTCCAGATTATAAACCCCAAAAATTTCAAAATGTAAAATTAAACTTTGGGTTGTGTTTAAAACTTCAAGTTAAATAAGCAAGAAGGTAAGTGATTAGAATGTTTGTAAATTTTTGGATGAAAATCTAATAAAAGCATTATTGAAAGGTAATTTTTTAAAATTTAATTCAATGAATAATTGAATCAAGTTTATGCACTATTTTGGCATTCACAGATAATTCAGCATTATTTTATTGTTTTAGGAATGAAATTCAGCTTATTAGGTACTGGAAATGCAATGCCAGGCCAGCCATGAAATGACTTCATGGGTCCAAACTTGACTGAAGAAGGGAGCTCATTTTCTTAACAAAGGCTTGGATCTAGGAAAGTGCCCAAGGAGAGTGCTAACCACTTCGGTGGTTATTACGAAAAACACTAAACGAGATGGTGATTTTTCTGTTGATAGATTGTTCATCCACTCTCATTTGACTGTGAACTGAATTGTTTTTTTTTTTACATTATAATAGGCCTTTTCTTTTGCTCTTAAGTATTTTCATTGTCACTCGATGGATTTATGAAAATCCACATTTATCCTTGACTAATTCTATTTTTAATTTTCTTCCTTAGTCTTTTTTCATTATTTTCTTTTTTTTTTCCTCTGCATTATAAAAGGCTTTTTCTTTTACTTTTAATTACTCTCATTGTCACTCAATGAATTTGTGAAAATCTTTTTTTATCTATCTTTAAATCTTTTTCGATCATTTTCTTTTTTGATAAAGTATTTAATGATCCTATTATTGCATTTATTTTTTTTCCTCCTTAGTTTAGTTAGAGGAGAGTATCTTCGAGAGTAAATTATGAATTAGTCCCTCTTTCACCGGAAACGAATTAATTAGTCCAACTTGATTTCAAAAACTAATTTTTGTCATTCTTGCTATTTTTTAATTTTTTTTGACTTTTTGTTTTAAGAAATAAAAAATAGGTAAAAATATGAAAAGATTGATGAGAAAAGAAGACATTTTTAAAATAAAAAATAAATTAGTCGTAGTTAGCATTGGCTAAAAAAATTAAATAATTATTTTTTGAAATAAAAAAGACTAATTAATTCATTTTTCAAAATAAAAAAGACTAATTTATAATTTATCTATCACTATATTCACATCTACCGATAAAATAAATATATCTATAGTTGTTAATAATTTCATATTTTGTTGGATTGCAAACAAAATGTACATGTATAATAGTAAGGACTCAAAACCCATTTAATTTGTATTGTTATTTGATGGATGAGGAATTCTTGAACAACTATGCTCCTAATTGAACTGTACGAACGGACATCTAGGTGGCATTGTAATTAATTATTGACGGTGTTTAGTTTAGAATTAATCTTTTATTTTTATAGTGATTGTAAATTTAATACGTCCTAATAATACGAATTTTTTTATTCTGGTTTGTTAATGATTAATTATTAAAATTAGTTTTTGACTACCTAATAAATAATTGTCGATTATAGAGTTTTATTAACTAAAACACTAAAAAGAGAATGCTAATTCACAACACCCAATTGCACTGTTCACTATCATTCAATTCTACTATATATTTTTATTGTTTATTGGTATTTTTCCCCTTTAGTCTCTTATGTTTTTAGTAAAAAAAATCGATCCCAAGCTTTATTTGTATTGCCACATGGTCTTGAATGCTTACAGAAGAGAGAAGAAAAGAGAGACAAAGAGAAATGCGGGTTATTTTCGCCACATCGGCTACATATTCTGTCTGATCCACAGTGTAGCAGCATAGGTGAAAAACTAATGGCTTTCTACATAATAATGGTTCCAATCCAGGAGCACAAAGCCCAGATCAGAATTTTATATACATAATCTTTGATTTCTCACAGCTAATCTTCTATGGCTCATCGATAACTCATCTTGTTTTTTAAGAAGAAATTCTACATTTAGTATACAGAAGTTATCTTATTGAAGGATCCAATACCTTTGGAGATTAGTCCAGACTTCCGGTTCAAATATAATTGGAACTTCTATTTTTCTCTTTTTTTAAAAAAAAATTCGATCTTCTGTGAATTCTGAAATCTTTCTTTAATATTTTTTTTAAGATTCTAACTCCGGTCAAATCTTTCCTTGAGGAGTGAAATTCTTTGAAATCTGAATGTTGTAGCTTTTTTTTGGCAAAGATTAGTTGATTTAGACAAAGGTATATCATTATAAAGAACCTGTCATGTGTGCTTTTTTACCAAAGCTTACTGTTTTTAGATGGGTAAAGCCCTTTTGGTGATATGCTTTGGGCTTTGTCATTGCCTAGTGGCCCGATCGTTATCATGATTTGCCTAAAAAACCCACCTGACATGACCCTTGTGGTGTCGTAATTCGTAAA